CTGAGCTGATAGCAGAAGTTGATAGTGCACTGAACGGTGTCGATCAATCAACGCAATTCTATGCTTCAAAGCATGCCAGACAGGCTAGACACATGAGAAAGTCTTCACCTTACACGGTGTCTTTCCCTATGCAGACAAAATACCTTTTGGCTCGAGAGTTTCAGAGAATTCGTAATAATATCGGGTTCCATGGTTTCTCTCTGCTAGCAAACTCCCTTATGGCATTGGTGCTATCGTCAATCTTTTACAATTTACCATCCGCAACTTCGTCCTTTTACTATAGAGGTGCTGCAATGTTCTTTGCACTCTTAGTCAATGGATTCTCATCATTCTTGGAGATCATGTCCTTGTTTGAGGCTAGACCTATAATCGAGAAGCATAAAGGATACGGTCTGTACCATCCTTCTGCTGATGCTCTAGCATCTGTTTTGTCTCAGATTCCTTTCAAGATTTTCACTGCGCTGTTCTTTAACTTGATTTACTACTTTATGGTTAACTTCAGAAGAGAGCCAGGGTATTTCTTCTTTTATCTGTTTGTTAATATCTTGGCTACCTTCACAATGTCCCATTACTTCAGGTTAGTCGGCTCCATGTCATCTACGTTGCCACAAGCTGTGGTTCCCGGTAATATTATTATGTTGACGATGATCTTGTTTACAGGCTTCACAATTCCAATCAATTATATGCTTGGATGGTGCAGATGGATTAACTACTTGGATCCTATGGCATATGCCTTTGAGTCATTAATGGTCAATGAGTTTTACAACAGAATCTTTGAATGTTCGTCCTATATTCCGGGAAACCCAGCTGATAATCCATCTTGGCCTTCAGACTCTTGGGTTTGTAATGTTGTTGGTGCGTCCGCTGGTGAAACATATGTCAATGGTACATTGTACTTGGAAACTTCGTTTCGATATAGTCATGGAAATAAATGGAGAAACGTTGGTATCTTGATCGCATTCATGATTGCTTTACTTGCTGCCTACATGTTATTCTCTGAGTACAACGAGTCTGCAAAGCAAAAGGGTGAGATCTTGTTGTTCCAACGTTCTACTCTGAGAAAATTGAAGAGGGAGAAGGCCTTGAATGATATTGAAACTGGTAAAGAGCGTGATATCACGCTTGAGCCTGAAGAAGAAGATGTCAATGTTGATGTTATCCAAGCCGGTAAGGATATTTTCCACTGGAGAGATGTTCACTACACAATTAAGATCAAGTCTGAATATCGTGAGATTCTATCTGGTGTCGATGGCTGGGTCAAGCCTGGCACTCTGACTGCCCTGATGGGTGCATCTGGTGCTGGTAAGACCACCTTGTTGGATGTCCTTGCCAGTCGTGTCACCATGGGTGTTGTCACCGGTAGTATGTTTGTCAATGGCCACTTGAGAGACTCTTCTTTCCAGAGATCTACTGGTTACGTTCAGCAACAAGATTTGCATTT